CCTTCGGGATTTTTCCCCTGAATGCCAAAGTGAAGTTTTGCTACTTCGTGTAAGCCTTGGTTGTAAATTCAGGTTACGCTGCAGCAGGTGCCTTTGGGGTAACCCCTGTAGTATTTCTGGGAATGACAAGTGCCTAAGAATTCAAACTCTTCAATAGACTGTTATGGTGTGTTACTGGAATGTTTCTCAGTGAGTCCCTCAATGCGGACCTGTGTTGTCTGCCCGTTTGTGAGTTGAGAGTGTTGTTCACCGCGTATGAGTGACTTCGATCCGAAGTATGCAGTCCAAACCGGGTTTCCTACGCTAGCAGCAAGCTAGTGGAAGTGTTGTAAAAGCCGGAGTTGGAATTCACTACCCGCAGCTTCGCTGAGTGTACTCTTGAGAGACCTTCCCCCTGAAATCTTGAGTAGAGGTCCTAACGGATCTCTGGGTTGTGTTTCTGTAGTTTCAGGTGTGTGTGTGTGTGTTACGCTGCACTGTGCGACCTCCGAGTGCGCTCCGAGTGGACACTTGCAGTATTTCTGGGAGTGACAGTCGCCTGAGAATTCAAACTCCTCAATAGTCTGTTAAACGTGACACTTTGTACCCTGTGTGTTCCCCTGTCCCTATGGGTTCAACCTTTCTACCACTATATTGCAGTTTTAGCCTTTAGTGGGTTATTACAGAGTACTAGGAGGAGGGCCTGCTCTCCCTCCATCGTCAGCCATGCTGGCAGATTCCTCAACCGACTTCTCACTGTCAAGTTCTACAATCACTTTTCTTCTCGAGTAAATCTTAGCAGACGTTTGACAACCTACGCTTGCAGAGTGACCACTCTCCTCAAGGTTGCTAGTTTTCTGTAAAGCTTCTAACAAAGATTCATCAACAGGGTCCACATTTAGAAATATCTCAAGTTTAATTTCTTCCTTGATTTCCTTATTCTCAGGTTTCTTCCTACTGCGAACGGGTTTCTCCAGTCCTGGCTCCAGGTTTGGTTTGTGCGATCTAGTCCTATTCTGCATTTACAAGATCAGGCTCCCGGCAGACGCACCATTTTATGTGAGCCTAAACTCCCCACCCTTCAGCGTTTGTAGTCCAGGTGGGGGTTCGAGCTCCCATAATCTAACTTCTCTGATCTCAACCATGTGGTCAAAGTGTATTCAAGACAATGAGATCATAAACACTTGCTCTTTCACAGACAAATTATCCAGAACTGAAAATAATAACTTGTTGTCTGCCATCTCCACAAGAGCAGCAGACAAGCTCTTTGTTACATAAAGATCTAACCCAACTCTGAGTGACTTTCTCAATACCACAGCCGATGTGGTCTATCCTAGCTCCGAGTTCCACTCCCAATTCCTACTCAGATTTCAGTTTCGATTTCTCAGCTTCCACCTTCAGACTCCACCAGATTCCTCTCTCAGATTCAACTTTCCCTTTTCAGTTTCAAATTCAGATCCCGACTGTCAGATTTCAATCTCAGATTTCGCTTCACTCACAACTCCCATTCTCAGGTCTTCCACTCTGATCTCAGCTCCCACTCACAGATTACATTTCAATCACAGCTCCCACTCACAGATTACACTTCAATCTCGGATCCCACTCACAGATTACACTTCAATCTCGGATCCCACTCAAAGATTACACTTCAATCTCAGATCCCACTCACAGATTTTGCACTTCAATCTCTGATCCCACTCACAGGTTACACTTCAATCTCGGATCCCACTCACAGATTTTGCACTTCAATCTCTGATCCCAATCTAATTTCACTCTCAGATACGACTCTCTACCCACGAGAGTTTGCTTCCTCCTTCTTCGAACTCTCCACACTCTCCTCCTAATTCTCACCACTTCCCTGCGAAAATCACTCACATCCACACCCTATCCTGCGAACAATCCCACCAGCGTCTCCACACAATGGCACACCACACGATCTCTATCCCCAGGCCGAAAATTCCTCTCCAACGTTCAAGGGCCGAGTCACCCACAGCCCGCGTGAATGCCGTTCCCGCGATGATGGGCAACGGCCTGGCTCCCATGTGCAACTTCATGCCCCGCCGCTGCCACACCTGTACAGTCTTTATTCATGACCAAGTCAACATCCGCCGTCCGAAATTTTCTTCCGCGCACCGCCGAAGGCATCCTCCCGCTGAAGACGTCCTTCCGCACCTTTGCCTATCTATAACAGTCACCCCCTACGCCCATAACTCACAGATCCCTGCTTCGTTTGAAACGTTTTTTGGGCTCGTTGGAACAAGCGTGTTGTGTTCTTTCCAACGAGCCCCTAACTAAGTCAAACCAATAAGAATTGAAAACGTTATGACGGTTTTACTCTTCCACCGAAGGCGTTTGCCTATGCGCAGGCGTCCGCGTCCTACACGCAGCCCGTCCTACACGCAGGCGTAGGCATCCTACACGCAGCCCGTCCTACACGCAGGCCGTTCTACACTCAGGCGTCTGCGTCCTACACGCAGGCCGTCCGTGGGCCAAAGGCCCCTCTAACTGTTAACGCCGAAGGCCTCTCGCCTAACCATGACAGCCGCTTTCGACGCTCATAACTCAGTGATGACTGATCCGTTTCAAGAGATATTGGTCTCGTTGGAACCAGCGCGGCGAGTTCTTTCCAACGAGACCCGAATCAAGTCAAATCTCTAAGAATTGAAAAAGATATGCCGGTTTTACTGCTTCGCCGAAGGCCTGCAACCGCCGGAGGAAGGGAAGTATGGCAGGACCTGACTCTGCTTGAGAGGGAACACAAGTCTCACTTAATTGGATTTGTCTGGCTCCTCTGAACTCGATGATGAGGCGTTTAGAGACCTGATGGGGCTACTTCAAGTCAACTTGACTCTCCAGGAAATAGATGTCTCAGGAACCTCGGAACAGACAGAAAGGCGGCGCTGATTCAACAGGCCCTCGAGCAAAACCAGAAGCGGGTTGTCTAGATGGCCTTGTTCCGAGAAGCCAGATTAGCGTTTGGAGATGCAACAGCTGGTAGACTCTTTTTCTGCGGCTCTCCTCTAGCAGGTGAGGTCCTCTGTCAGTTCTCAAATTTTTTTCTCAATGTATGCAAACCACCCATCCAGGGTTGTACTTCTAAGAAAGTTGAGGTGATAGCCATAAATTGGAATTTCTATCTCCAGATGTAATTGCAATTGTGTAAATTGATTTTTTCAAATCGGGGAAAAAAATTAAAAATACATTAATTCAAATCATAAGTAGTAGTTTTTTAAAATATTACATTTTGATGTGAAATTCGAATATTTTCCAATCCTGTTTATGAACACAACATGATTAAAGAATATGATATCAAGTGATATGAAAAAACACTAGTAACAAGTTGTATTTGTTGTGATTTTCTCTATTCAATTTATAAGGCAAAACTAGATTGCGACAAACCCTGATGAGGATAGTTAAAGGCAGAAGTTGGTTCAGAGACAAAGTGGAGTTCTTGCGAAACAATGGAGAAAATCAAGTCTTAATTTGGGATCTTGCGGAACAAGAGATTTTTTGCACCTTTCAAAATGTGCTTTTCTCTCAAATGAGCAACTTCTGTATTTTTCTCTTTGTGTATAGCCCCTTGTGTGGCAAAACTTCATGTAACAAATTAGATACTTGTTTTCAGATAGAGTTGGAGGAATGGTTGAGTTTCATCACATCGCACACTAGAGTCATGGTACATCATCTTCTACAAGTTCTTGTTGTGATTCACACATGGATAAAGTCAAATCTGACTCTTTGACTTGGGCTGTACCAATAGTAAATGACCTCACCAAAAAATTTGCAAAATTTGTGGATCTCCACCCTATTCATCAGTATCTTCATGTGGATGCTTGGAAGAAGAAGCAAGTTATTCCTCTCAAAGATAAAATCTTTGATTTTCTTTTTGATAATTTGTTGAGTGAAAAATCCCCACAGGTTCCCCTATAGTGTTTTAAAATTTCGTCTCTCCTTGTTACAAACACCAAGGAGAACAAGAATTTGCCTCCTTGGCCATCCCCAAAGTTTCATGATTCTGTGCTCCTAGCTTAGCACAATTTATTCCATCTTCTTTTTATCACACCTTTGATCATTCAAATATAATGACTTCTGTCATATCCCACTTGAATGTGGTTGCATCTATAGTTTATATTCCCAATCTTGATTACATCATTGTGGATCCAAACTCGCTCACAAATAGATTAGTACGTTCAGCTAGTGGCTCTAGGTCAACACTTTCAAGCTCAACATTCCAGATCTTTTGATTCATACACAAGCAATGACGGAATTGAGAGTGAGAGTGTCTTTGCTAGGTTGATAGAAGGGGTCTCACAATGACCGAACAAGAGACGGTGCGCGCTCGACTCGATGAGATGCTTGGTCAACGCGACGGTGACACACAAATTCTATCACGACCATTCTGTCATCCACAAATTCTATCACCCAGACTTTACATCGGCATGATATGACGTTGGACCCGAGCGTCCTTCGCAACCATTTCATCTGCGTATTCGTGCAAAGCCTGGAACGGTGCAGCGGCCTTCTTGCTAGCCATAGATTCGCAGGAGATGTTTGACAATGAGAGTCAAGAGTGATAATGCAACGAGGCGAGGAAAGGGAAAGAGTGAGTGAACGAGAACAGTGTTGGTTGTACTCTCAGCAGCGGTGGGCGAGACGTACTGCGGGGTGCCCTTAGTTTGTAAATCGGACGTACTTTATTTTGTACAAATGTAAAGCTATTTTCAGAACAATGTACAAACTTATGAGGCCTGCCTATGTCCCAGATAGCGGTGGTCTTCAGCGATAGCGTACTAAAGTTGAGACTAGCCAAATTCCCCACATCTTTCGCTGCAAAGTGTACTCTATATATAGAAGACAGAAATCACATAAAAAAACATTCCAACTAAACCTAGTTGAAACACTAAACGCTAGAAGCTGACTCTCACTTGCAATAGGTTAGGACAATTACTCTCCAAGACGTAAGACCAAAAATTGAAGCCGATAACGAGGCTTTCAGTGTATTCTTCCTAGGGCATCTCAGGACTCTGCTGAGGTACCTTGAACCTTATTTCCGCCTGTTGTAGAGATCACATTTGTCGAGGTATTCCAACCACTTTAACCGGCCAGCCAAGGACGGGCTGTCAAATGCCACCACCACACCAATCGATGAGAAAGTGCGAAACTAAATATTATAAACTAATAAAAAACTAAATATTCAGTTTTCAGCACTTTTCTCCTGCTGAATAGAACTGCTGAAAAAGTGGAAGGTTTAGTACAGCCGCTTGTAATTCCTGAGGCATCAGACCTAAAGAATACTCACCATGTAAAAGCTGCGCAATGAAGACGAAGACAATACGCATGCACTATCCCGTAGTTTAGTTCATACATTTTCAACCCATTGAAGTGGAAACAATCCCTGTCCTCAGTCCTTGCTATCGGAGCAACTAATCGTTCCATTGTTTGACATAATTACCTCTCTGTAGTTCACATGTCTCCTGTACGATACTACGAAAATAGATTTCATTACAGAGTGTGTTTATATACATTATATGTCTGAAAAATAACTACAACTCATTGCGTGCATCAGCAGTCAAGTTTCCATCAACACTTTCACAGACGTTCACACCGGTCTTCAAAACTTTATCAAGTTACTTGAAGCTACAGAAATCCATAATGCACTTTTGCACTCGCTTTGGTCAGGTCCTCTTGACACCTCCTGCACTCCACAAACTCTCGATATCACTTTTTTCAAAACAAACTTAAACCTCGACTTTCAGTACTCGGTGCCTTCAATAAAATCATTTCCAGCAATACAAATGTCTACTGACACGTTCTCAAATACACGGGTACCTGCACGTACCTTTATTGCTGAAGTGCTAAACCACTTCCAAGACACATACCATAATGATTTGGCATTCCATCAGATTTTTCAAACGAAAACAAAAGAAGCCTGTTTTTTGATTGTTGACACCAACTGAAGAAGAATAATATCACAATTTCAGCCATATACAGTAAAGCAGCAGGCTAAGGATTTGCCTTGAAAACTGCTCTCAAACTTCGAAGACCAAAGTTGTGTTTAGAACTTATAGACTAATGGTTATCTGGAGAGAAGGGAACTACCCGAATCCATACACAGCGGTGATCCTCAAACTACCTCTAAATCCTATTTACAATTCGTGAAAGCTGATGGATGACAAAACTAAGATTAACTTCAGCGTCCACGAATAGTGAAGCTCTGAACTCATGCACTCATGCCGCAGCAGAGTACTCTAAGAAGGTGTTCCGTCTTACTAATCATTATGACTAAGTCAGATCTCTTGAAAGAATTAATAATTTCTAGCAAAGAAGAGCCTCATGTCAGCCCTAGAATTTTGAGAGTGCAGCTTAAACTATCGCAGTCAAGGGCAAGCTCCTAGCAAAAAGGCTCACCATATCTTATATTGAAGATATGAAATGTTGTCCTATGAGCCAAAATTTTGCACCCTATTCGACAACCAAGAGCTCCTGGATGCATGCACATCCTGGCATGTAAGCACCACAAAATTTGCAGCTTTTGTCCACCAAATGAAGCCCCTGATCATCAACATCCCTAGGAACAGGTCATGTAATAATCAAATACGCCAGCATCCAAAAGCTGAAGGAGGTTCTAAAGTACAATATATGAGCAGAAGCAAGCAAGTGCTCATAGGGCCCCCAATCAAGACCTAATCCGCTTACATAGCCTTAAATATGAGGAAACTTTCTGCATTGTGTAAGAAGACAATGATTGAGACGGATGGTGCGTCTGGGTAAGAGTTGGACGTAATCCGACGCAAGTATTGCTCCTTACGAGCACCATATCCACCTTCGTTCATAAACTCGCCGGGTGAACCATTATCCTAACACACCATCTGACTTTCAGCACTTTTACAGAAGATAAATTTAGATCTCAGTGAAAACCACGTCAGATTACAAATCCACGTCGTCTAAATTGCTCAAAGCCTTCAACTTCTGCAAGACATCACAACGATTCGGAACAGATCTTAGCAACCGATTAGTTTGATACTCGCGTCTCACGTCTTCACAAACCCTTACTCTTGCTATGAGGTTAAAATAACTTTTAGTTATGTCCAAGAGAGTGAACGATAGGATGTATCCACATCTTAGGTATTCACAATAAAGAAGCCTGATCAACAACGAGACAACAATATAATCTTAGCAAAGTGAAAACTTAAACCTTAAAAAACTTCCAACAACACCGCGACCCATGTTTACCATTTGTAAGAACAAACAACAAACCCACATTGTAAGAGAGATCCACCAGAGCCCTCGAAATAAAAGGCAGAGCAACCCCGAAATGATCACATGTTCAACTGGACAATCTGTTCTCTGCATGTTACTTACCCTTGTGAATTGTTGTGGACTATCCACGCTAGTACACCCAATTACGACCTCCCGTCTTAGTTGAGCAGTGAGCTTATGTGCTATCCTTAACTGTAAATCCAAAAAAAAATTACCAAAACATTATACATCACTTACCAGCAAAAAATCCTTGGGAGTATCCACAGAACTGGAACCCAGTATTATCTCACGGTTATTATCCTCAGACATCTCATGCACTGCCCGCAACTGGAAGCAAGGAAGGCCACCACGGTTGAATATCTAATAGCAAACTGAAGTCACTGAGCTTAAAAAGTGCCAAGCTACACTAAAATGTAGTGATATCAGACTTTAGCAGAAACTTCTGGAAACATTGAGAGTATCATAAACTTATATCTCCACAAAGGAAATCCTGACCTCAGATCGTGTGATGCCACCGATGACAAATACGAAAATCCGTCTTCCGTATGGCTTATGATTATGATTATTACTTACGGATCTGCCGTCACTGTAATTAGATAAAAAAACACAAGACCTGTCAGAAAACTTAAACAAGTTTCCAAAACTTCTGCTTCGTCTCAAAAAAAAGGTTACTCAACTGGGTCTCCTCCAATAGGGCAAGATGTGTTAGCTCCTCAATGTCAATTGCTTTGTCGACATGTGCAGATTTTGAGGAAAAAAAAACCACTTTGTACATAATTGCTATTCAAACTGGTAGCCTTAGTTCTCAAAACTGAAATTTCAGATAGTCAAGCTGACTATAGACAGACTATCTAAATGAACCATGAAGAACAAAAACAGCATAATTATAGAATGCACATATCATGGAAGTGAAAGCGAAACCTTTTGTGGCTTATCATCTACTGAGAAGAATTTAATACAGGACTTGATTTTCTGGTTCTTTTACAATTACTAACAATACAAGTGTAGCTAGAATTTTGCTACTATGATCCATACACCTTGTGATCCCCACGTCAGAATAAGGTATCTTGTACTAATGACATTAAGACACAGACCAACACACATCATAACACAACAGCATATTGTGAAGAAAAAACTACTTACACCGATCCGTCATCGTAAGAACGACCCTTGTTCGCCCAGGTACTTGTTGCAGGCCTATTTGTTCGTCTAGAATGTACGGCGGGTTTGGTAGCTCCCCCTGGTGAATTAGGATTTGCAGCCTGAGTAGCTGGTAGTGGACCCACAGGTTCCTTCACATATGGATACTCATCCTTTGAGAGCTCACCTTTCACAAGATCTTCTACCAAGTCCTGCATGATAGCAACAGTGAATATAAATTACCTCGTAAGAATGATAAAGAAGGTGGTCAATAGCCACGATATTGAATGTGTATCTGCAAAAAAACCCTGAGTCAACAATCAACAGTGTCAAAGTACCCTAGTAACAAATGACAAGACACAGAATCCAAACCAAATTAAGTCAAAGCTCGCATTGCAAATACAATTGAACATTCGACGTTTGTCTGGGGGTTGGGCTTCCTAAGAAATGGTAAAATTAAGAAAGTAATCCCACCTGAAGCACAGGGTAAAATCGGGATAGCTGCCAACCCTCCTCCTCCTGATTCCTCTCCTTCCTCAAAGGTCGTTTATTCTAAAATTTTACACACAGATCAACCACAATCCACCACCAAAAAATGGGAGACTAATGTTAAAATAATATCAGGCTTGTGCCCATCAATGTCATCTAGCTGATCTAAGTGATGAACGCTTTCATGAATGTACAACTGAGAAGTGATTTTTATTCGATAGTCTTCTCAAGACATCTCTCTTGCACAATAATCACGACGCCAGAAAATTCTCAAGGCAGTAGGAAGAGAAATTTCGACTAGGTTCCCAGTAGATAACAGACCTTTCGAGCGCCAAACTTCAGGGAGAACCCGCTAGTTGGCTTTTTGGAAACGGAAACTCCCAGGTACTCCATATTATTGATGGCGTTCATGTCATCACCCGTTAATCTCGCCAACTGAAAACCATCTTCCAGTCAATAACAATAAAAACTAATGATGCAAACAAAACAACTCGCCAATCAATAGTAGCAGCTAAACGTAATTATATTCTTGGCCATCTTGAAGGCAATAGGCTTCAAAAGAAAAGATAAACTATGGGCGCAAAGATACAAACGATCAAGGTCTGAATCAACGGTTGAGAGGTAATATAAACATAGCACACTTTACTTGGCTTGATGAAATCTCTTTTTAAACCAACGGAACATGGGGACGTCTACACGGGAACATGGGGACCACAAGAAACCGTCAAAGAGAGCCCACATAAACGCGGCATTCGTATACCAGAAACCAGGTGACCTAATCAAAAGTGAAGAAAAAACTGCAATTCCAACTAACCTTCATCCACTGGAGTCTCTTCGTAGCATCCAGTTTTTCTGGATGAGTAGCGGCATAAATCATCAAAAGCCTCAGCTTGTTTTCAGCGCTTAAATCCTGCAAAAGATGTATAGAACTCCGCCCCAAGCTTAGAATTGAATCTAGCACAGGCTTCAACGATATCAATGCAATGACGCACAAAACTCTTGGAATATTTTGAAGTTAATATCAAACTTAAAGGGTAAAAATTACGTAAAAGAGTTGAGTTGATTATAAATTACTAGAAATAGTTGAATAGGCCTCTTAAAGCGCATTCACTATTAGCACCTGTTTGACATTGAGAATGTTTATCAACTCCTTGCTTGTCGCATCCCCGAAAACAAATTCCTGCTCTAAATTTCCAACATCACTCAGACCCTCGTCTTTGATCTTTTTATTCAGCACTGTAGCAATCTGTAAAAAAATTTCAAACAGCCTTTAATACAATATGATTTCAAAGAATAATGATGGTTATCTAAGAGTGCAATACAAAAATATGACAACATATAAGCTTATAGAATAATGACAATCAAACACTCGCAAAGCATATTATCTTTGTTGAAAAATAGTCAACCTTCATGTCCACTGTTTGCTGACATAACCAGTGGCACAACACAAGAGCTAAATACGGATAAAACAGAGGAAAACTGTGGGCCTTTAGCCAACTCACGTGGATGTGCAAACTAAGCTTCTCCAGTTGATCTCGATACTGAGGCAAAGCCTGAACCATTTTCTGCATGTCTCTAGTGGAGAGTTCTTGGCCCTCTCTGCGCAGAGGTAACATGATAAGATCAACATGAGAGGGGGAGGAATCAAGGACCATACTCCGATCAAATCTTGTGAAATTTTCAAGATCTTAAATATTGAAAGGGGGAGAACTGTAGCTGCAAAGACGACAACCTCCGCAGGGTTCATAGACATAAGAAGAAGAAACCGTCCTAGACGAGCTACCAAAGAAGTCTTCCTCCTTAGGACACATGGACATAAGGATTCCAAAGACAGAACTTGGCAGACTTTTCAAAGAGAAGTGTCCCCAAAACAACGCTCAACATGAGACTATCTACACTTAAATAAAGTGAGGGCTGACGTACTTGGCACCCAGCCGTATCTGAGCAGCTTTATTCTTTGCACCAAATTGCTGCATCTTATCATCCAACTTCAGATTAACCTGCAGCCAAATTGTGTCTGATTCGTGAATCCTTGTTCACAGCTGGCTAGAAGCTTGAAAATGCCACCATTTTCATCCCCAAAAAAAAAACACGGGATATCGCGAAAATTACCTCAGCAATGTGCAAATCACGAAGCTCTAACCAAACAGGATCATGCTCTTCCAGCAAAACTTCCTTCTTCTCTACTTTCCCTGTTCCTGTTGTAACCTGCAGAGAACGGGAATAACGGTAAACAACTTAGTAACTAAAATCCTTATGATAATCAGCACCCGTGACCATAGTCTCTCTAGTCAATGAAGAACTAAGCTCCCCAATAACCTATATATGGGAGCACACTGCACAGGAGATATTTGTGAGAAGATGCTTTCTCGAGTAAAACGAACATAAGTAAAGTATAGAGGTTCATGTTGTGGAATTTCTAAATACGGGAACATGGCAGTGCTTCTGTCGCTTGATCAACAGTACAGATCACTATTTTCCTCTCCTAACTGCTGACCGAAGGAAGCCGCGCCTTGCCTAAGGGGTGTCGTTCAAAAAAGTAAGATAATATGCTGCACAAACTGCTTATTCAAAAAACTGAAAAAAGCGACTGCTTGCCGAGACTAATCACTCTGACCTCGGATCACAACGATAGAAATAAGCACCACCACATTATGAGTTACTCAAGATAATCTTAACACTGTGGAATATCTAGCGGCTGACAAGGCCCTCTTCACTCGCCTACACCAAGAATCGCAAAACTGATCTTTATTTTCTCCTAGGGTTCTCTAAGGAAAATTAACAATCCGATAGGTAAAAACTAAATAAATTATTATAGCAAACCTACTACCGCCTTACTAGAAAACGAGGAATAAGCCAACTGAGCTTTTGAGAAAAAACGTAACGCCTACCTCATACATAAACTTGTTGCCATCCATATCAAGAAGGTCATGGCACATCGCATCATAAGTCCATTCATGAATAATAGGAGCCACCTGCACAAATCATGGATTCAGTCTAACCAGAGAGAAATCCGAAAACTGACAATCAGCAGTGTTCTAAAAGAACGGCAGGATCACAAAACATGATGGAATTCACACCGCTGCAACAAGCTGACCATCTTTGCATTTGAAATATCACCCATTGAACACACCTCACATATATACATACCGGGTCAACTGATCGGTCGACAATAATCAGTTCACAAGTTTCAGTTTGCGGAAAGTTCGCTAAAGAGGATTTGTACTTCATTAGGCGTTCCCAAAGCGCCGCTGCCATTTTTGTCGGTACTAGGTCCCGGGCTGTCGTGGTTGAGACAGAATTTGCAGCAGCAGATCTAGCAGCGCGATATCTTACTAAGGGAAATTCCTGTAGTCACACAGAAGTTCAATTTGTTGTGCTGTGTTATTCAGCTCCTGAGAACATGACAATCTTTGTAGAAAGACATCATAAATTGCTGTAAATGATGACCAAACCATTCTCATCTTTCGTAATGCGATGTGGGAAAAAAATTGATGGGTGAATATTTCACCTTCAATGATGCGAACACTGTAGACAACCGATATGCGATGGTGTCTAGACAAACTTCATAATCACGGGTTCCCTCACTCAGCTCTCCAAATAGCTCGACCAATGCTCTGTCGTTATCTGTGGAAAATCCCTACAAAATTTATCATCAAAATCATAAGTCCTATAAATTTCATAGGCTGCTAACATCCTGAGACGCTGCTTCCGTCGACAGCGACCCCACGTTTTGTAAAGTTCACCAAAAAAAGATTAGAGATCAATAATTGCAACCCCTTCCTTCTCCGTCTCAGATAAGTTTTAGGGGATATCAAATGAGGAGAAGCCTCCCTTCGAACAGATCACTTCAAGAATAATGTGACTTAAAATCTTCCCAGCGATTAATTTATAGATTCTTGAAAACATGAGTGAAGAATTCGTACAAATAGCATACCTGCGTGTCGATGGTCAAGTATTCCAAATTCATCTGCACCAGCATGAAGCACATTCTCAAAACACAGCGTGGACTAGCTTTTCGTACAAATCTTTCTTACAAGACTACTTCTCTTATCTCGAACTTTCAGCACAGCATAGTCACACCTCATCATCAGAAGGAAAAATGCTTTCAATATGTAAAATTTCAATTCAGCAAATCGTCCAGGTAGAGCAGACCGTTACCTCTCTCAGTGCTGCAATTCTTGACAAAAGAAGTGGCTCCCCTTTGATGATATTGAGTAGGTCTCGACCTAATGGAGAGCTAAAAAAAACATATGATCTGCAGGCGTCCACCATGAGGCTGTTAACTCAACAAACAAATGAGGGTTCTAACGTGTCATGTTCAGTACGTTAGGTCATAATACCGGGCAAGTCTCCGATTACTACATATTTCGGGTTATCAAGGTGAATTCAAAGAAGTGCCAGACACGCAGATGCTGAAGGAAGGGTCCATCATGTAGCATAAAGTCTGGCAGATATACTGAACTTAGACAACCTAAAGAGGACAAAAACCAAAAGACCTATGTTCTTCTTATCGGAGTTGAACGGACTAGAGAAAAATCTGGAGCAAGTGCTACCATGCCGTCCACCAAGACTTACGAAATAATCTGAAACGAGCATCAACAATAGATGTCATCAGAAATAGACTTCACTGAGATAACGATCTGTTACGTACTTCTTGTAAAGAGGTGATTTCCCATTCATATCACCCATGAACTTCTGGACACTGCATGACGTAAAGAAAACTCATGTCAGCATTAACAACATCCACGTAAGTCCTCAAACATTCGATTGACAATGCACCTCCAGTCAACTGCGATTTACAGCCGCAGATTGCTCCACTAATCTGTATCCTCTCCAAGCTTTTACGCAGCAAACCTCACCAAAAGTAGAAGCTGAGCTTTCATTGCTGTTTTTTTTTAAATATGAGAAGATTTTGAGGTTAATAAGACAAGAAGCTAAATCAGCATTGACAAATCTCCTGCTTTCTTAACAAGGGCTACCTGTCTCGTGTGGGTTGAATAAAATACACAGCCTCCAGAGCCGGCAATGGTTGCCTTCGCTTGTTCAGATCCTCAACCACTACACATGTGAACATTTAGTTATTTTTGCTATTTTTCACCACGAGCTCCGCGATATAAAATAGCTATGAAATCTAGCAGCACGAGTGTAAAATTCTAGACTCAGTGAAAAGGGAGAACTCTATGAACAATCTAACCTCAAACGAGGAGTATGCCGGTGGTAGTTTGGTGATTACATAAAACTGAGCCGCACTTGAAGCACTTTTTTGGTGCTTTGTACTTGATCTTATCAACATGGAATCAAATCTAAATCGTGAACAGCTAGCTGTCTACTTCAGATATCAGCTATGGCAAAAAAGTTGATAGGAACTTAGGTGGCAAAATTTGTACACCACAAGGACGAGGACTGTTGAGTCATTTGGCTGGGGAAAATTGATCTTCACTTCGTAGAAACTCACATGAGATCCCTTCTTCCGTGATGTCTGCCATCTTGCAGGCATTCGACATTATTTTGACTGTCACATCGTCCATGATGAGAACCTGAGCAAGCATATGACAATACAAAAACGAAGGCAAGGTTCATATCCGAATTGCGCACGATTTGATTACATGATTTACAAGTTTTAAATTGCGGAGATATTATATGGCTCTCCAAGGACTAACAATGATTTTATAAAACTTCGACAGATAATCAACAGAATTGAACTTCTCAATCCGTAAAGCGGTGAACAACTTCAATATACAAAGCAAGGGAAATATTCATAATTCGGTATCAACGGATAGAATGCCCAGTTTGTTACCTTCCAATTCGCGGCATTGTTTCCTCTAGCACTGCGGAGCATTTCCAGTAAAAGACCTGCAACGAAAGTTCAATGCATGAAGTGTCTGTTAGTTAACTCCCAACAGTGTTCGACTAGGCCGCAGTTACTAGAGAAAGGTGTGCTTAAATCTCAACTCCTGAACTACGCCACACTGAGGTCTCAGTACGATTGAGGCAAATCAGGAGGAAAACTTAAAATCGGAAGCTCACGATCACGAGTCGTCTGCCGAAAATTCTTCCACCCGCCATGAGAGGAATCCCCGTCCGACACCGACATAGTTCCCTGCTGCTTCCACTCTTGTCACCACCACCACCTGCACCACGTCTGCTTCTACTGCGCCCTAGCCCTTTAATTCGTCGTCTGCTTCTCTAATTCTGCGACAAAACTTTGCAAAACAAATTCAAAACCGTCCCTAGAGGGATGCACTCATGATGCACGTTCCTGAAATTGGAGGAACGCCTTTGTACACAGATCAATCCACACGAAATCCAATCCACACTCGCCTCCACTGAGACTATCTGAGCTCTCGTCGAGCTCTCTCTCTCTCCGGAACACCAAAAAGTTGTCCACTCTTCTGCACAGACACATTCCCTCTTCCATTCCGAGCGAACGGGCCGGGTCCGAGCAACTCTCTCGGGTCATCATTCCCTCGCCCGGCCTACCTGCGACTCCTGACCAATCTCCACTTAGCCCTTTTGTACTGACCCGTCCCACTCGCCCCGCCCGTCCTCTCATCTCATCTGTTCGTGCCCTGTAGTACCGTACCCCGTGATGACTTCATCTTTCCTCCTGCCCGGAAACTTGGAAAATTCCACGTCCTCAACGCAAGGGGCAGCTGCCGGTTAAGTGAGTGGCGAGCCCACGCAGTCCTCATAGCACCTCTGTCGGTTGTTCATAAACCTTCCTACTCCAAACCGCGATGTCATTCTACCCCATTTTCATTTCGTTACTATCACAGCTTCCCTCAAACTCCCCAGTCCAGCCGGTCGCACAAGAGGTTACTCGATGCAAAGATCCGGAAGGGGAGAGCATTTCTGCGCATTGTAATGCACAGTACTTTCTATCATCAAACCACCGGCGCAATATACTGGTAATTTTCGGCAAGAAATCTATACCAGATTTTCTGAGCCTCGACCGTCCGATTCAGAGATCTGACGGGCCGAGTGAGAGCTGGAGATTCGCTGTATGCTGTACTCATTCTGCGAGGACAGTGGAGCAGGGCTTTTCTGACCGGACCTTTTTGGCCGGTCACAGCGCCCGCTTCCACGCACAGCCGAATGCTGAACGGGTCGTTCCCGGTTGGCGAACTTGCCGCAGAGGGCAATTCCCCGTCATTCGCGGCCGGGAATGGCGCCTCTGGAAGTAGCAAGCTGACATGTGAGCCGCATTCGGCCTGCTCGGCCTTTCCCGGTCATTGCCTCCACTGTACAGGTACGCTATTTACGAAGCGGAGTGAGGTTGATATTCCTGTAGGCTGCTGCTGAGTTCGACGTACAGTTGTCAGTTTAAAAAATAAAGAATGCATAAAGTTGTGCGGACTCGGAAATTGCACTCGGCTTAAAAGGTGAGGGCTGAACCTCACCGTGGCGTACGCTGCTAGTGAACCTCGAGAGAAAAGAGAACAATGAAGCTACCTTGCGAAACTACTCTCCGGCAGCGATGGGTGGAATTGGATATCTGCATCGCAGACGCAGTCAAGATGAAACGAAGGCCAAGTGTATAGCAAAACTGATGGGAATTTCCAACAAGATACATCGAGTCCGGTTTTACATATGGTGATATTCATAAGTATGTAACTAACTTTACGTTTGGTGAACAATCAACTTCATCACATAACTATGCATTTCAACAATTTTAAAAAATATTATATAAGTCTTTGTTAATCCAAAGCGGTCGAATATGTTGATAAATGTCACATTTACAATAAATGTAATTATACTTCCGTGATCGTCGACTCAACTCTCACCATTGGTATTACCTAAGTGGTCTAGAATATATACAAGGATAACTTACAAACGAAATACATTAAATGTCTCAACTTTGGAACTCCACTTCCATTAACAATGAGTGTTAAGGTGACATCTACAATATTCCACTGAGTGATTTTCATTCAGTGAATTTATAAGTGTACATATGCTTGCTTACATTCCTAGGACATACATACTGTACTACCAAAAATTTTATATTTAAACCAAAAATGGATATTTACATAGATGATGTTCAATAATTTGCACTATCTAAATGCTATGTGTTGCACAATTTGAATCAAAGAAAATTTTAAAGATATATAAAAAAATATAATAAAAGAATTTTTTATGTGTATTTTCATTTACTAAATAAATCCAATTTTATTCAAGATTTATGATTAGAATTATTATTATTTATTTACTTATAAAAGTAAACTAAGATTATAAAGAGATATCAATAATCAAGATCAAAAATTCATTCATTTCATTATATGATTTGAAAATATAGTAATATTTTATATTTTAACTATTAATAAATCATGCATGCATCAAGATCTTTGGAAATAATTTTAAAATATTTAAGAATTAAATAGAGAATGTGGATTAATAAGAAATATCTTATTTTTATTTTTAAGAACTAAATAACTAATTTTCAAACATTTTTGAAGATGTCAAATATTATTTGAAAAGTGAATTTTTTTTCAAGACTTTCACAAAAAAATGATTATAATAAAATTAAGTGGAAAAATAAAATGAATTTCCTTAATTAATAAAAAAGTTAATTCATTTTAATATTATAAATCATTAGTTTCATAAAATATAAACTTACATTGTATCAAAGTTAAATCAAAAGTGTATTTAATGCTTTATACAATTGTGAAGCTTGTGAATTATATTAAAGATTCATCATATTAAATGTAATTGTTCCGTGATTTTGATCATGTACATTGAATGGACTATGATATATTTCTCATTGCTATTTTTTTTACATTAAGCATTAAATTATTACTTGGTCTTTTTATTTTTTTAATTGATGCAACTCATGTGTTTTTTTGATTTTATGGAATATTTTTAACTAATTATTAAAAACAAATCACCAATGGATAAAAATTATTTGGAAAAAATTAAATTACAATAAAATATTTTTGATTGAAATCATATTAATAGAGTTTTAATTGATTTCATATAATTATTTGAAACTTATTTTAATAATAAATAATGCCCTATGGTAAATTAACAACGTGCAAATTTTAATAAAACGTGTCCAAAATATTTTTTTATTTCTAATTTTTAATAAATTAAAAATAGAATTTTTTTTTCATTTTATAATATTATAAGTCACATTGGAAAATTTTATCCTATTTTCAAAAACTTTGATATTAAACATCTAGTCATATTTACAAGATTTTTTTTAGAATATATATTTCATTATATAGTTGAATTAATGAATGAACTATAATTATACATCAATATAAGTATCCATTTTTCATAAATACGGCATGAACTTATAAATGATTGAAATGCAATGAGATAACAAACATGTCAATATGAAATCAAACATATTTTCATTCTTTGCACATAGATTAATTGTGCAAGCAGTAAATTTTGCCTTTGTACACATAAAAATATGGTTTTTAAATCATCCATTAGATATCATAGTATTTTAATAACTTTGCTAAACGTCATCATCCATATTTTTGCTTGTTATGAAAACAACATCATTTTTCAGACATTGTGGAAAAATGTTGATATTGACCACTCAAAATGATAGTTGATTGTCTTATAGAATGATTTAGACTGTGGGCTATATAATCATGAAGATTGTACAGTGGGACCTGTAGATGATCGAATTGCTACTAGATCTTCATAACAAGATAAACACTATCGTATATTCAACGTGTTTTCATTACTTTTAATAATTTAGTGTTTAGATTTCACATAAAAATCTGAATATAATGGAAGTTTTGTAATCTTTATGTTATCTTTGTTTTGTTCGTTTATACTATCGATGCTTGTAATTTCTTGATGGTTGTCCAAACATACATTTAACGTGTGCATGAATGACAATCCAATATATAATAAAGTTGCGGTGCAAGAGGACACCGGACGTAATTTATCGATTGGTACTGCTCAAATCTGGTCACTTGATTGCAAAAAGTGATAACCTCGAAAACTGGATACAGTTCGAGTACATCAAGTATTCATTCATCAGAATTCGGAATTGCATTGCTAAAACAAGTTAAATGCTTGGACTTCATTAGAGGCGAAACAGCTGAAGCCAGGTGCACATTGCACCACGACTGGTGCCAGCAGATCTGGTTATAAGTCGATTTCTCCCTTGTATCGGTTTGATGAGTCCTCCCATCTTTCTCGCTATCCACTTGGCCCCGCCTTTATCAATCCTATACAAAACGTAGCAGTTGTCAAAAGGGCAAAAGGGTTTATATGTGTTTATTATGAAGTGATAACAGTACAGGGACGCAGTATGAAAGGCTTTGAGCATCGGAGAGACAATCTCCGGATCGGACCAGGAATAAGGGAGGTTCTGAAGGGATGTATGTATCTCTCACGTCTCTCAGCTGGAGCCTGGTGCCAACAGATCCATACCATGCAAAACGTTGCGGTTACCAACTTGTATATTAATTTAGTAAAATTTGAAATCACACACTTGCGAGCCATCTAAGGGTCAACGAATTGAATGGAAATGCAACAGACGAGGTGAGGATATGATCAGAGATTGAAAAACTCCTATTCAGGTTGTTGTTTGCAGTCTAAAACCAAAAATAGAGTCAAAGCTGTGTGCTCCCTATCATTATCACTAGAGATCCGAACACATGTTAGTCTAGGATGGTTGATTGTTGGATTGAAGCGTATGGTACAAGCTGTAAGTCTTCGCAGGGTTGTATGGAGTTCCAGATTTCCATGGTCTCTGCCTTCCATTCTTGCATCTACTTGTGAAATTAAGAGCTCAGACTCGGATTCTGATTCTAAGTGATTATCAACCCAAATTTTATAGAGGTAATCAGGATTCTTGGGGCTTAGGCGTTTTATATAAAGTGTATAATTGATCCGTCAGATACTTTGACACGATAGCACTGTTGATATTCTATAACCCGTACAAATTGGGAGATTTTTGTTAGTCTTTCGACCACCTCGAGGTTGACCCTTCGCATTGATTTGCATTGTTCTACAAGTGAACCTCCCGAAACTTCTTCTCGTTTAGAACTACTTTACTTTCATTTAAATTTGAAACATTGTGATATGGTTTGGTATTGTCAGGCTCTATTATTCTTGGCCACCGACAATCTGGTCACGTGAAAAGAAGATTGATATCTCGGACCCCACCATCAATGATGATAGCACGGGACCTCCACAAGAATCTCTAATAAAATCCAACATTTCTTTCATAGTCATTGGTGGGCAAGAAAATGTTGTCCTTTGTTCATTTTCAACAATAAGGGTTTCCGCATAGGGTTTTACAACTCTTGAGAGAAGTGTGATAATACTATCTGATGACCTCTAAAATATAAAGAGTATATGGCCCAACAAATTATCACTCACAATCCATCTAGAGTTCTCGTTATATTTTTTGAAATTCGAAAAGATTGTAGATAGGATGAGAGGGAAGGTTTTGTTTGTGAAATTTATGGTATGACTTTTTAAAATTCAGACAGATGTCTGTTTCTTCGTATTATATCACTAGTGGTAGTTTGTTAAGCCAATAAAATTTTATTCTTGACCAGTCTTGAAAGAATACATAAGAACATACAATAGAATCATGTAAAGCTGGGGCATGGTGTCAGTAGCATGTCCTTGATTTTAATTGTATCCAAGCTCTTTGATGAAGAAATGGAAAAAGTTGAAGAAAATACAAAGATCCTTTATGATATCGGCCAAATGGTGTGCCAACCACACAAAATATCAGAAAAGTTCATAGTTCTTTCCTTATCAAATAAAATGTAATTGTTAACATATACCCATAGCTATATAAACAGCACTAGCAAGTGCAATTCATAAAAGGATAAGAAATTTAGGTGATGATATTTCAAACTAATACATAATCTCTGATGGTGTCAAACGTGGTAAACAAGATACTTTGGGTGAATTACTATAGAATTTCAAAGCACCTATTGCATGGTTTTTTCTCTTTTTCTTACTAACCTTTACAAAGGTTTTTTACGCCCACAATGTGAGGCTCCCACAGGTACTGACTGATACGGAAGCCATGAAAATCTTTTTTTGGCCGTGGCAGATGTGCGTTTTACATTACTTAAGCTTCAGCCCCATCGGCTGAAGTAGTCATTCGATCTTCACACGGGCTTGTTGGACTATTCCCAGATTTGAGTGGAGGACCAGGAAATCGTCGGCTTTATGTGTGTGCCCTTTCCGGTCTTGCTATTTTGGTTTCATCCATGTATGACTTCATAGGAACTATTTGCTACATATTTTTTATATCACTATTCATGAATTACAATTGCAAATAATGAGATTGCTTGCCTGTAATGGCTTTGATACTTTGCTGGTGTACATTGCCTCTATGAGAACATGAGTTTGGTACTTTCATGTAGGCTGGCGATGCCTTTCATATGACTTGGGCTACAAGATTTCCGTTGAGGTTGAGTTTTCAGACAGGTCGGAATTATATTAATAAAATCTGCAAGCTGACAAATCTTTGGTACCAAATGATCTTCTTCAACAAGTTTGAATATTGATCATTGAAGATCTGATCTGACTGATCAGAAGGGTTATCGGTATATAAAATGCAAACGTGGTACATGAATTTGTGATGGAGTCATGTATATAGAAATGGCAAAACCTGAAGTGCTTCGAAGCTTTTTCAGATTTCGTACAAACAAGTCTATTCGAAGAAACCTCCGATCACTTGCCCTGTTTCAGATAAATCTTCGTTCACACTATCTTTAAAATAGTTTAGCTAAATTGACATGAAATGAACTCGCAATTCCAGTTTTGCTAGCAATGACGCTGTCCCCGTCCCTTTCAGTGTAGAGAGTATATTTTCTACATGGTGAGCTCAGTTCTCAGAAATTGCTCTGGATTATGACTGATTCTCTTGGAAGATTCTGTGGCAATTTTTGCCGGAGGATAATTGTTCAGAATTCAGATGTTCTAGTATTCTCAAAGATCTAGATAGCTTTGATTGTTATATTACTGTACCATGGAGTGGCCGCAAGCAAAAAGATTCAAATGTACCGTCCTATGGAGAGGGATCATCAGGTGATGATTGATGTAGAGAGTTGTATGAACATGAATTACTTCACACATGTGCATACCTGTCTAGATCAATTTCGTTTATGAAGGAAAGGAATGGGCGCAAAACCCGACAATACATGCGAACGCCGTTAAAGCAGAACGACAAAGTGGTAAGAGTCCGGCACTATGCAGAATTCGTTGGAGGAAGCTGCAATTATGGAACATGGTGGAGACCCAGCATGAAGCGTGAAAGCATAGGCGAAAGTAGACAAACGAGTCTCCAACGTCAGAAGTTCTCACATCAGCAGCCAGTCAACGAGATGACAGTCTACGATTTATCTCCTTCAAGAAAGGCATAAGCAAGCGACCATGAGTTGTTTCGACGACATTAATTGATACAACGTGGACACGATTCTTTGTCACAATTTGGAGGACATAAATCTGGTGCTGGAGATTCGTGTAGAGGTTAATTGCTTCAGGTTGGAGTGCGCTTTGTGTGCAGGGGGTGGACCATGACGCGAGTCAAGCACAGTAGGAAATACAACCCATCGAGAGAGATACAGTTGTGCAAGAGAAACAAGTATGCGAAGTTGCTTTAAAAAATGATTTACAGCTATGACAATCTTTACAGACCACTTCAGAATCTACAACTTGATGTAAAACTAGTCTTGTGCAACGGAGATCTAGAATTCTTGAAGCGAACTACCTTACTATGGTAAAAAAGTCAACCTCTGCGTACCGTATGAAACACATATTCCTATTTTTGATCGGCTTTTTCAGTGACAGAGTACTAATCTCGCAGTAGTATACCCAAGACACAGCCGGGACCGCACGGTATCAAGGATGTGGAGGGAGCACCGAAGGTGCACGATGAGAATCAAGAACTCGAGAGAAGACGGGCGTCCGAGCAGTCGGTGGTCATCATTTCGCTTTGATTCCTAGATCCCCCCGAGCCTTACCCACGAAAAGATCCTTGCTCTTCAATTTCCCGGGTACCCACCCGATGATGGTAGCGAAAGGGAGTTGGGCGACGGCGTCCACTCGTCCCAAGGAGACGATGCCAAATGGCTTTTCTAGCGCCTTGTACACGACCAGCTTCTTATCGGCAGGGTTTTTGGTCAATTTCTTGATGTTGGAAATGATGGTCGCAACGTGGTTGGCCGCGGTGAACCCTTGCTTGATCTCCTTGAAATCGGTGATGTCACCCGCGGCGAACACGTTTGTCAGTCCTGTAACGAGGCAAGTTCCTTCGACCTGCAGCCGGCCCTCGTTGGTCACCTTGTCCTTGAGAATCGGGGACTCGAGGAGCCAGTCGCTGCCCAGCTTCTTGCCCACCGCTACGAAGTGCGCATCGGCCTTGATCTGCTTCTGACCCTTGGTCACGTAGGTAGGAGGCGCCAGGCCTTCAATTTCGACACGGTCGTTCAAGATAACTTCGGCTCCCTTCGTTTTGAGCCACTTCTCAGCCTTCTCGGAAGCCTTCGGTCCCAAAAACTGAATCAGGCGGTCGCCACTGTGGATTAGGGTAACCTTCTTCTTGGGGAAGTCTTGAAGAATCTCGCCGGCCAACTCCACGCCGACCGGGCCCCCTCCGATGATGAGAATGTTCTGAGATTCGACGATTTTCTTGTGATCCGCTTCGAACTGCTGGAGGCGCTCGGCTTTCGTCTTCACGCCGCGGAAGGTGGTGCCCGTGGTCACGACGAGGAAGTCGAATGGGATGATCTCGCCCGTATCGGTGGTGAGCTCCGACTCCGTGGCTTTGACGGCCGAGGCTTGGACGAATTTCGCCTTCTTCAGGTAATCGGTGTGCAGCACCAGCGAGCGGTCTGCGAAGGACGGTTCCACGGTCGATCGCAGCTGCGAGTACGGAACCTCGAAGAAGTCCTTGGGGTCGACGAGCGTCACGTCCGCATCGTTCTCCAGACCGTGCGCGAGCAAACTGCCCGCAACGCCTCCTCCCACTACCACTACCTTCTTCTTCGCAGCTGCCATGATTTCGAGCGACTCCGACTCCGACTCCGCTGCTGCTCGACGACGGTAGTGCTAGCTTCTGGATCTGCTGCGCGGCTCTGCTCTGCTCTGCTCCAAGACTGAATCGGCAAGTGTACTCTGCTGATCTCTACCCACTCTCGCTTCAGTCCTTTTGATCTACCGCAGACGATTCTCTTCGTTCCCTCCTCGGCTCCGATTTGGGGATATTAAACTGCCGGGTACTCCCTGCCTCTGAAAGCAGCTCCGCCAGTCAGCAATTCTATTCCCTTCCAGACTCGAATCATGCGGATTCAGTCAACGCCTACTTAATCACCGAGGCGTTTAAAATCCAGCGCTTCCGAAGTCGGAGGGAAGGGCACCAGCGAACGCGTCTCGCCCCCTCCAGAGTAAGATCCCGCCGGCGACGCCCATCTCGTCGTGCAGGCCGAGTGAGGTTTGCACAGCGGACTCGCGCGTCGGTGCTTTTCCGGGCTTTCTTCCCCCCCTTCCCCAGTGCGCTCTCCGCTCGCCTGTTCCCCGGATCGTGCGTGGTCAAAAGGTTCTAGAAGTCGCTCTGTCCTCCATTGGCAGATTCCCGTTTGGAGCCCGTAAGCTCCCGATCTTTTTGCTCCGGACGTGATTATGACCTGATAACCTCTTCCTTCCTCCAGATCCGGGGCGGGCCGTGGTTATGACCTGCTACTAACTTCTTCATGCGCAAACACTAATCACGTGCTAATTAGCCACGCCTCCATATCCGGATTGAACGGACCCCGGTCCTGAACGAGCATCTTCAGTCTCGCTTCCGGTATCTCAGGAATCCTTGACCGGGAGAATCGGATGGTTACTGTCCGTTTGACGCAGTGAGTTACAGTGGCCGTGATGTCACGGACTAGTTTGGAGGACAACGCCCACTTTCCGGTAAACTGGGTTTCGATTATCTATCGGTCGATGTTACTTCAGTCGGTCCTTCGCCGGATATAATGGTCCTGCGTTCTACCCAGTTATTGTTATCCGCCGATTCAAGCGTGAAGCTATGTTCAGAGCGACGCCAGCCTTGCGACATATTCTTCGTGCGGAGGACATTGGCCCTGCCAAGATTGTCGTTTTGTGTACACGAGATCCAAGCACGTGGGGTCGCCAACCCCGACCGCAGTACTTTATTCTCAAAGACAGGACGATGATCGAGATACCACGCGCAAATTCTTGAATGTGAGAAACGGACGATATGTGGTATACAAAGACTACGTCATAAGTAGAACATGTATGGAACTAAACGGGTAAAGTCTATTCGCATCAATCTAATTACATTAAAAAACTGTAATTATTTAGTTACTGACTACTACCTTTTTTTCCCTAGATGATAACGTGAAGAATTGTAACAGTATGTTTTGGACCACAAAGGAATCGTACTGAAAGCATACAAGTTTTACAGTAATCTATAATGAATGATATATCTTATCTGTGAGGATTATAGCAAAGTAAAAAATTATCTTTTTTACATAGTTTTAAAAGAAGAGTTTCAAGTCATTTGAATCTAATTAAATTTATACATTCAAGATCTTGATGACTATTTATACTTTACCTTACTTACATAATGAATATCACCATTTGACACATTATTTTTTGTAATATATGTAATCATGATAATCAATATATGATAATAAAATTATGCTAATTGTAAATCATATACATCCCAATCTAAGACAAAGCAAGTAATAATAATTGCCACATTTTTTCAGTAACAAGTATTGGTTTCTTATGAAGCATGTAGAATCTAAACGGCAACAAAAGGTTTTGCATAGTTTTGGCTTGAATATACTTCTCACCTTGTATATATGTTAATTATTGGTAGAATGATGACATGAAAAATATGTAAATAATAAATAGTAAAAAATTCTATTATTTCACAACTTCAAAAACTAATTGATGATCTTATTATGCTCTCATATAACTTTCATCTCCTTTTTTCCATGAGAATTGATGTTTAATCCATAATATATATATATATATAGTGAAAAATTCAGATTGATTGAAGAATTTTATTTTGATCTTTTTCCCTTTAGAAGAAATGCATTATAATATTGGACATTATTTATACATAATTGATATCTAAATCATCACCTTTTAGTATAAATGTAATCAATCATATCCAGACCTTAATACATTTATAGAGAAAAACGGATTTTTAAAATTTTTAATAATAATTTATTTCTTAACTGAAATAAAATTAATTTATTTTAAGACATGACATATATGAATATGAGATAAAAAACATTTCGGTTATTATAATTTTGTGTCAACAATTTATTTTACATATAAATCTTCATAGATGTTCTTCATGATGTCAAGATTCTTATATCATTTCATAAAGAATATATCATATTTAAAATCTCATGTAATGATATATATATCAATCAACAAATAAAGTTGTCATATTTGACTTATTTTTCATAATAATTTTTTTTGAAGTAAAATTTCATAAATAGGATATATGTCAGCTGTGATGATTTTTCAAAATATGATTGTCGTTTTCAAATATTTGAAAGAGATATCAATATCATATATTATTAAAAATCCAAAATTTAAAAGAATCACAATAGTCTAAGATTTAGTTCTTGATAAATTTACACTCAAGACTTTAAGATTGATAAATCAAACATGTATATAGTTGGTCATTCAGTTTTTCTTGAATGATTAAAATGATGATTTTTTTTCATTTTCTGCATATGTATACATGAAAAATGAAATAAAAATGAATTTCGAATTTAAAAAATTAAAATAGTTTCATGCTAAGACCATAAAAACTAGACTATTCAAATAAAATTTGATATCTATAGTGATGATCAAAAAATTAGAAAGATATGTATATTAAAAAAAATTGAATTTTTTTATAAAATATAATGTCATATTTTTTATTCACCAAATTTCTTGGAATCAGTATTTTCAAATTTTTTATTTTAAAAAATTGTTGTTTAAAACCTTCAAAATATCCTTTAAAATTGAAAACAAAATATGAAAAAATCAAATCATAGTCAAAATAAAATTTCAGAAAATCACATGTAAAGAAAAAATGAATTCTTTTTTATTTTATTTGCTCCAGATAAAATGTCATGTGAAAAAAAAATAGTTCATCATATTAATTGCAAATATTGATTAGCCTAATCATTTTATTAATCACAACTTGTTTAAAAAAAAAACTTGATTTGCATATGCTCCATTATATTGTACATCATTTGATTCATAATTAGATATAAAACACGTGATTATTGACGTCAAGACTTACAATATCATGTGTAAATTTTATCTAAGTCACTAGACTTTCAACAAAATTGTGTCCTCACTTATGTATCACTAACATTTGTTATTAACTCTAATCTGAGAATGTCACATGCATTTCTTGTGTATTTTTTTATCATAAATGATGTTATTTGAAGTACATATATTTTTTAATCTTGTATATTAACAAAAAAAGAACATGAAGATTTCTATATGTAATATTTATATTTTGAATCTTATTTCTTGAAAATGTATATTTTTAAATCATATAAATTTTCATCTCAAAAAATGTTAAAATCATATACACACCATCAACATAAAAAATGGCATACGCGCTGACATTTTACATATTTGATTTGCCAGTACGAACTATATCCAGGGAAAACAATTTTTTATTGTGAATATATTAAAGTTTTATCAACACCTTCCATGAATTCTTTTATATAATGCGAGTTTAACCCGCTACTTGATAACTATAAGTTTATGAATTAACTAGTTAGAATTTTCTACTTAATTCATATCATGAGTAATATAATGTCCAAAATGCATAAATTTATTCTACAATAAACTTTAGAAAAAAAGATAACATTAATTTCTCTCAAAACTAAAGCTAACTAGAATTAAAACGAAACTAAACTATGAATGAATACGAATGAATGAATATATATATATATATATATATGTAACATAATTGCAAATAAACTCTACTAATGCTCCTTATGCAAAATCTGCAAAGAATAGCAATGTCTAGTAAAACTTTCTAAAGTAACAACTTTGATCCAAGCATTTGCTAGATTGAATTTAACATCAATTAATTTGTAGTAAGATGTAACACATCTTTTCTATCCTAATTAAATTAGCAAATTTTTATTCCATTTTCATTTTAGTGGTAAATCTACTCAGCCAAGTAGCTTCTTTTGCTACCATTACATATTTAACTTTCATTGTGCACTAAGCTACACATTTCTGCAAAATAAATATTCAATTAACATGTCTATCATTAATGATAAACACATACCTTTTGTAGATATTTTTTTTCCAAGTAAAATTTTATACTTGTCTAATAATGTAGCAAAGCAAAAATTTGACATTTTCTAATTGATCATCAAACAAAATTTCACAATATTTTAAAAAATTTGAGGTAGATGAAAATTCACTTTATAACTTTTTTTAAGATTTAGCTTAAAATTTGACATATCATCTTGTCCATAGCTAGAGCAATATAATATATTGTGCACACTATCAAATATATAAAGATACATATTGCTTATTCATAAGAAATTAATGAACTTCTCAATAACATCAATTAGATATTGAGATGCAAACATCTTGAATTGTACAATCAAAGTAGTGCATATATTTTGAATTTTTTTATATTAAATTCTGAAACATAAATTAAATATAGTTGTATTGATTTAATCATAATTTTTTTCTTCAAAATTTCATGAACATCTATTCTTAGTAATTTTTTTACATATACAAATACTTCATTTTGAATGCAAAATATAGTTAATTCTTGCATCTATACACATCGAATTGATTTTTTGCTAAATTAAGCACGTCATTCACGTATAGAGTAATATAATTTAAAAACATTATCATTGTTATTAATCTCATTATGAATATATATATAGAGAGAGAGAGAAATTATACTAGCTCCATGAAAGCATTTATGATTTCATGAATTCATCAAATCTTGCGTTTTGACTACCAAAGTGCTTGCTTTTATTTATATAATAATTTCAGTAATCTAAAAATCAATTTTTTTGACTTTTTTCAAAGGAAAATTCAATGTAAATTTAGTGTATTTAAAGGAAAAAAATGCTGGAATACATTTATGTAATCATAGTTAGACTAGCTTTTTAAACAAGTGCATATATCAATCTAATTGTAGCATACTTTGCTATAGATGAAATATTTTGTTCTAGTCTACATCATTTTTTGGGGGTGAAATCTCTAATCATCAATTTAAATTCAAAACTTATCTTCATGTCATTTGTTAGATTATACTTCATAATATTTTTTTATTTGCTATCAATCAAAGATTAAAATATTGGAAGCTAGCATTGTTATCCATCAACAATTTCATCTCACGCTTCCTAGATATACTTCAATTTATTTTATTAATAGAATCTTGATTTTTTTTTATTAATCAAAGATCATGCAATTTTCAAGATCAACGCATTGATATTTGCATCTTTGAATTTAATATCATGATATTCAAGAATAAAAAAATCAGTATGTAATTCAAACTTTATAAAAGGTGTATTAGTCTAATTTGATTATACTTGGTTGTGATTATAATTGATTTTTATTTTTTGGTTAGTTATTTATAATTCATCAATATAAATTATGATCCTCACATTCTTGTTTTTTTATATTTTTTATTTGTATAGCAACTTCTCCTTGTGTCACATTCTTTAAATTGAGAATATTTAATCTCTTGCTCAAGAATATATGTGAAGATTTTATCTGGTAACTATATAAAGCTTGAATTTTTTTCTTCTTCATATGATCTAGACTTATAAAAATAACATTTTAACTTACTACAAACTTAC